TGGGCAACATGGTAAAACCCCATCTCCAGCAAAAATACAAAAAAATTAGCTGGGCATGGTGGCATGTGCCTGTAGTCCCAGCTACTTGGGAAGCTGAGGTGGAAGAATCGCTTAAGCCCAGGAAGTCGAGGCTGCAGTGAGCTGATATCACATGAGTGCACTCCAGCCTGGGTGACAGAATGAGACCCTGTCTCAAAAAAAAAAAAAAAAAAAAAAAAGATATAACAAAACTGCCTTAACATTCAGTGGCTCACAACATGATTATGTAGTTTCTCACTCGCAAGTCTACAGACTGGCTGGGGAGCTCCCATGGAGGCTGTGCATCGCATCGGGTTTAGGTCAGCTCCAACAGCCTTTAATCCTCCTTGGACCAGAGACTATGTGGAATACGCTTTCTCCCTGGCAAACAGGAGCAGCGCAAGAGCCAAGCCAAACCCTGCAAGCACACTTAAGGCCTCTGCTCTCAGCACATCTACTCGGGCTCCAGCATCTACAGTCTGGTGATGCCGGGATGAAGGCACCATCCCAAGTACTTGCCAAACAGCAATTTAACCAATCACATCATTTGGCAGCATTGTTTTGAAGAATGATTCAGACAATTCATGTGCAATACTTAGCATAGTACCTTACATATAAGTATTCAATAAGAGTTTCTATAATAATAATTACTGATATATGATCCAGTATAGGATAAGATGGCAACTACAATCTACTGAATCTCTACTACTTGTCCAGCCATGTGCTAGGTATTTGCTATCTGTTACTTCCTTTTAAACCTTATAAACATCCTTTTGAAAAATTTAGTTGTTATGATTACCACCACTTCAGAGAAGAGGAAGCAAAGTCTCCAAGAGATAAAGCACCTTGAGTAACGTTACACAATTTAGTAGTGTGAGATAGAAATTTAGGTTTGTCTGATCTACAGACATCTGAAAACTGACCATAATTCTCAATGGGCTACATTATGCTATGGTTACAGTGTTGTTAGACAGTGAAAAAGGGAAGCAGCCAAATCAATGGAATTTGCTTAGATTTCCAATAGAAAATGAAGCAAAGTGAAAGAATTCACCAGCCTGCCTGGACAGGAGTTTTAAAGGTAGATCCTTGACTAACACTCCACAAGGAAGAAGTGATCTGGGAAACATGTATATTATCTGATGGTGTATATTATCTTTGTCAGTGGTACCTGAATTTTAGGGTTTAGACCAGTGTTTGTCAACCCTTTTTTCATTACTTTTTGGGCAATTTTTTTCTAATCCTTCCCCCATCATAAAATTAAAGACTAAGGAATAACATTTTGTTGGGCAAAGCTGAACTTTGGAAGAATGTTTTCCAACGGTTTTGGAGGAATAAAAACAACTGTACTATCGATTCTTTTGTCCCATGAGAATCAATTTTTGTCCCCTTGGAGGAGCCACCAGAGGACATCTGACAATATTTGGAGATATTTTTGGTTGTCACAACTAGGAAGGAACACTACTGGCATCTAGTAGGCAGAAGACAGAATGCTGCCAGGCATCTTGCACTGCACAGGTCAGTCCCCTCTGCCCCGCAAGGAACTATCCAGCCCAAACGTCAGTAGTGCTAAGAAACCCGGGTTTAGATGAATACATAGGAATCATGTTAAAAAAATGCAAATTCATGAGCTCCATCCCCAGAGATAATGATTCAGTAACAACAGGCTCAGGAATCTGTATTACCCGGGTTTAGATGAATACATAGGAATCATGTTAAAAAAATGCAAATTCATGAGCTCCATCCCCAGAGATAATGATTCAGTAACAACAGGCTCAGGAATCTGTATTTTAAAAGTAAACTGGGCCCAGATGTAGCTCACCCATAACTCTATAGTACAAAACATGAAAAATGCTCATGTTCTTCATTCTGTAAATATCTGAGTTAATCACTCCTTATTTCTTTTTTGAGATGGAGTCTTGCTCAGTTGCCCAGGCTGTAGTGCAGTGGCGCGATCTCGGCTCACTGCAAGCTCTGCCTTAGCCTCCCAAGCAGCTGGGACTACAGGCGCCCGCCGCCATGCCCAGCTAATTTTTTGCATTTTTAGTAGAGATGGGGTTTCACGTGTTAGCCAGGATGGTCTCGATCCCCTGACCTCGTGATCCGCCCGCCTCAGCCTCCCAAAGTGCTGGGATTACAGGCGTGAGCTACCGCGCCCGGCCTTTTTTTTTTTTTTTTTTTTAAGACAGGCTGTCAGTCACTCTGTCACCCAGGCTGGAGTGCAGTGGCATGATCATGGCTCATTGTAAGCTTGACCTCTGAAGCTCAAGCGATCCTCCCACCCCAAGTAGCTGGGAATATTAGGTGCACGCCATCACACCAGGCTAATTTTTAAAAATTTTTATTTGAGACAGGGTCTCCCTATTTTGCCCAGGCTGGTCTCAAACCCTTGGGCTCAAGTGATCCTCTCGCCTCGGCCTCCTGAAGTGCTGGGATTACAGGCCACTGCACTCAGCCCACATAAAAGTTTAAAAATTTCCCCCAAATTTTAAATTCAAGCTTTATTTACCTAAATCACAGTTATAACTCTAAGCTACAAAATTATACTATAGTCTTTTTACCTCAGCCTTTGAAGTGTTTTCCCAAAAAAGAATTTCATAAATCAGTGGATAATCCTGGATCACAGGCTTGTTTTCAGACCATTTTGGAGCACCGATAGAGATATGTAATGAATCACTCAGGGATCTAATGTTAAAGACTGGAGGAAGCAGGGAAGCTAGAAAAATTTGTAAAGAAATAATGTTCAATTAGAAAAACAATTTTAAGAACTTGTACCAAATCAGAGAATTACAATCTCCAGTAAAAACTACTGCCTTACCTTGTATTTCAGTATCAAACTTTATCTCTTCAGACCAAAAAGACGTGTTATTTCCATCAGATGCTTGTACGCGGAAAAGGTAAATTCCTTTTTGGAAAGTGTTTTGAGGAAAGACACACTGGGTAGTTGTGACATTTTCACAGTCAGGTATTTGTTTCCATTTATACAAATGGTTTCCAGGTTTCCTTTTTAAAAAGGCACTTTTAAGACAAACAATTTTTAAACTCAACCACACATTAATTCAATAGATATTTATTAAGTATGTGCAATATGCCAGACACTGTGTTGGGGGCTCAGGTTACAGAAATAAATAGTAGCCACCCTCAGGAAACTCACAAACAATGGCGGAGATATGCATCTAACATAAAAGAAAGCCAAACATTGTTCCACACTGTGATCACGCTGTGCTCTGCTGCAGGTGGCTTATGTCAATGTGCAAGAACATCTGTTAGTTAGAATTTCCAGGACTGCTGCAAGCTGGTTTTTTTGGTTTTTTTTTTGAGACCGAGTCTCGCTCTGTCACCCAGGCTGGAGTGGAGTGGTAGGATCTTGACTCACTGCAACCTCCGCCTCCTGGGTTCAAGCAATTCTCCTGCCTCTGTCCCCCTGAGTAGCTGGGATTACAGGCGCACGCCACCAGGCCTGCCTAATTTTTGTATTTTTAGTAGAGACGGGGTTTCGCCATGTTGGCCAGGCTGGTCTCGAACTCCTGACCTCAGGTGATCCACCTACCTCGGCCTCCCAAAGTGCAAACTGGTTTTTAAACAAAAACCATTATTAAAAATTAAGTTATAAAAATTTGCAAATCAAAATTGTTTTAAAGACAGAGGTGATAAATAAATTCATCTTGTCCTAACTATTTTACTACATTTTATTGTCTAAGCTCTTGGGGCTATCTTTATCTATTGTAGCTATACGACAGTGGTGTGCTACTGTGCATATCTTCCCAACTCCATGTTCAGGGACATCAGGCTGGTGGCTTGAAAGTAGCCACGGTGGGAATATTTATATCACGAAAATCAGCAAACACTACAAAATAGGACTTTTTCTTTCTGGAAAGCCAGTTGCTAAACATGCGCCAGCATACCAGAGGATAAGTACCAAAATAGAGACACACTGCAGGGTTATGAGAGCAAGTATAAGTACGAGACTAAAGAGGTTCAGTAACTTGCCCAGGAACCAGGAGCTAAAAGCACCTCAGTTCAAGCCCAGAACTCTAACAGCCTCCTGACTGGTCTCCTTGTCTCTCTCTAGTGTCTTCTTCTTAGTCCACTCTCCCATATACCACATTGCCATGCACACCTTCCTCAAATCCAGAGCGCAGGTTACCCATCACCCCAACACCAAATCCCCAAAAGCCTGCAGGACAACCTGAGGTTGACCCTAATCTTGTCCCATTCTACTTATTCAGCTTTCTTCCTGTTGCAACCTGGTGTCCAAATGTTCTGCTACTCTAGAAGGACATCCTTCCCACTGAAGAAGGAAAAATTCCGAGATGGCCCCCAAGATTCCTGCCCCCTGGTGTACACATCCTGTATAATCCCCTCCTCTTGACTGTGGGCAGGACCTGTGAATACGATGGAGGCCCTCCTCTCATAATGAGGTTACATTGAGTGGCAGAAGAAAAGCCATTTCACAGATGTAATTCAGGTCCCAAATCAGTTGAATCAAACGAGAGACTATACTGGGTGGGCCTGACCTAATGAGATGAGCCCCTTCAAAGAGGATTTAGCCAGGCGCGGCGGCTCACACCTCTGATCCCAGCACTTTGGGAGGCTGAGGTGGGCGCGGCGGCTCACACCTCTGATCCCAGCACTTTGGGAGGCTGAGGTGGGCGTGGCGGCTCACACCTCTGATCCCGGCACTTTGGGAGGCTGAGGTGGGCGGATCACTCGAGGCCAGGAGTTTTCAAACAGCCTGGCCAACATAGAGAAACCCTGTCACTACTAAAGATACAAAAAAACTGGCTGAGCGCGGTGCCTCATGCCTGTAATCCCAGAATTTTGGGGGACTGAGGCGGGTGGATCACCTGAAGTCAGGAGTTCGAGACCACCCTGGACAACATGGTAAAACCCCGTTTCTACTAAAACTACAAAAATTAGCTGGGTGTGGTGGCGCACACCTGTAGTCCCAGCTACTCGGGAGGCTGAGGCAGACAGAAGAATCACTTGAACCCAGGAGGCGGAGGTTGCAGGGAGCTGAGATTGTGCCCCTGCATTCCAGTCTGGAAGACAAGGTGAGACTCCCTCTCAAAAAAAAAAAAAAAAAAAGGATCTAGAGGTCAGACTCTCCCTCCCTGATAGTCTCTTACGAAGTGAGCCACTATGAGTTCTAGAAATAAATTCTGCCAACAACATGTGAGCTTGGGAGCAGCCCCCGAGTCTTGTATGACTGACTGACTCCTTGACTCCTTGACTGCTTAGCAGAAGACCCAGCTAAGCCACGCTTGGACTCCTGAGTCACAGAAACTTTGAGACAATAAATAGCTGTTTAAGTTGCTAAGTCTGTGGTAATTTGTTACAGAAACAGAAAACATCTAATACTTGTCTATTTGAAAAAAATCGGAATTAACAATCAAGGCCTTGTTCCTACCTCATCTCTTTTCTTATGGCTTCTTTGGTCTCTTCAGCCCCTATTCACCTTTACATTTTCAATTTCTGCAACCCTTATAATTTGTATACCACTCTTTAGTCTGAAACCATACAACACTTTGCAATGTCCGCTAACTGCTTTCGATTTCTAGAACCATGTGTGATTCTGTTGACTCTTTCCATTTCTTCAGTGCTTTGTACAATATGCTAAGTGCCCCAAAGCAGCTTAGAGATCAGCCATCAGAAATACCGCTCATTATCTATTTGGTGACCCTATTATTTATTCACTTCTGAAAGTTAGGTATACACAAAAGATTACTGAACAGTCTCCTGATTGGTTTGTGAGGTTATATATGCACTGTGGGACACATATGCACATAAATGCATTTCCATTCTACTGGTCACCCTTGGTTCAAAATGAACACTAAAAGAGAGAGAGAAATTGATCATAGCAGTACTAACACTTCCCTTCTCCCTCATTTTTTTTGTTTCTTTCTAGTTTCTTCTGACTTTTCCTTTCCTGTCTTAGCTATACTTGCCTTTGCTCTCTACTCCTCTGCCACCAATGTATATCTTTCTTTCCATTTCTTTTCTCCCCATAACCCACTTTTCCTTCTACTTAATTTTCCTCTTCTCTTTTTTCTCTCTATTCATCTCCTACAATCTTCCAATCAGTATAAACTACATGCAGTTCTCTTTTATCAGTTTTGTTAAAATTTTAATGTTTAGAGATGGGGGTCTCACTATGTTGCCCAGGCTGCAGTGCAGCGGCTACTTGCAGGTGTGATCATAGCACACTGCAGCCTCAATTCCTGGCCTCAAGTAATCCTCCTGCCTCAGCCCACTGAGTAGCTGGGACTATAGGCATGCGCCACTGCACCAGGCCAGTTCTCTTTCATTTATGCAGTGCCTAGACTTCATCTGTGTTTAGCTAGCCTCTGCTCAACCACATAGAACACAGTTTTTTCCAACTTTCTTTCCCACCGAAGTAACTACTACAAAATTTTGTCAAAACCACCGAAGTAATAAAGAAATGAGGAAGGCTAATTTTTTGGATTGAACAAGTGAGTGGACTGAGATCATTTTAAGGACTCATGGAAGAAGAGAGTTCTTAAGAAAAACATCAGGGTCAAGTGTCAAGTGTTCCAGATTGCGGAAATAACACACCCAACTAGTCACATTTTTGTTTTTTTCTTAAGCCAGTAAGAACCCCAGATATTAGAATCCATCTATTTTACAAGTGAAGAAATTGAGGCCCATGGAGGTTAAGCGATTAGCTCAATGTCATCCAGTTAGTTACTGGCTGAACTGGGGTTAGAAATGAGATTTCTCATGTTTCCAATATATCGTACCCACCTCCCAGTCGGTCATTCTGTGTGCAAGGACCTGGTGACTGAAGCAGAGTGAAAAGAAGCATAATCAAAACAAACTGGGCAAAAGGAAATTTATAGAATAGAACTTACGGGAGCCACTGAACTTGAAAGCTCATGTTTGCATACGTATAATCCCACTTAAGAATATAGTTCTGATTTTGAACAATGACTTCTACATTTTCTGGTGGAGGTAGTTCATTTTCAACTAGAAGCCAAAGAACAGATTAAAAAAAAGCATACGTTTTTACTCAAGTGAGATAACTGGCAAGAAGATAAAGGCTCACATTTTATCATTATAAGGTAATAGTTAAGGACGGTTTGTATTCACACTGTGTAATACTATGCAGCCATTTGAAAGACGACAGGCCAGGCGCA